AATATCGTCGGAAAGGGTTGAAGGAAGGGGGTGTCGCTCATAAATTTGTTATCAACAAGTCGTTCAGAGACGAGAACTTTGCGAATATGAAACGTCAAATGTCAGACCAGCTCGGCTGGAAACGAGGGAACGATATTGTTGTGTATGAGAACAAAGGCAGTCTTCAGCCTGGGCAGTGCAAAGAGCTGGAACGATTATCTGATGTTTTGAAGATCATATCAACAATTGAGATAAACAGGACGAGGATAGCAACTGAGTCGTTTGCACAGGAACCATATTCCCCTGTAAACGAGAAAAGCAAGTTTGGCTGCGTAAGAGACAGTCAGAAGAAAAGCGCTGGCGAGGAGGCGCCCCATAATACAGTAGCATGGATCTTGCGATAATTTGAATTGGTGGCATCGCAGATGGGACGATGGTCCGAAAGAGTGTGGTGGCGAGGTGAGAGCGATAAAGAGCCGAAAGGGAACCTGTTGTCTTCCTCGGGGGATTGCATCTCCGGCTACTGTACCCAAGGGTACTGTACGTGCAGGTTGCCTACAACAGACCGGAGACGGGCTGAATTTGATGGCAAGGCCTACGGGGCAAACTTTGCGCCGTAGGCCTTGCCATCAAATTTGGTTTGCCCGGCAAACCTGGCTGGCAAGAGAAGGCGCTCGTGGCAAATCGTGATGCACGTTTTAATTAATTTAATACATACTGTACATCTTGTATGCAATTACCCTGGACCATGACGAATCAATCCGTGAGATGCGAATCAGCCGTATTGAACTCGAGAAAGCATAGTTTTGTACGGACAGGGCGTTGGAAAAGACCAAGTGTCAGATGTTCGACCCACTGGCGGAGCTGTGCCAGTCATCTGCCTTCTTAACCAGCACGCAATGATAAGTTGCTCCTGTGTCACATCCCAGAATAATTCAATAGAATAGAAATGGTATCAGTGCAGTGCAAGGCCCAATCCCTACTGCCCCTGTGCTAAATACCATGAATGAAAAAAATCCATCTTATGTCCTGTTTTCAGTTTGATGCAGGATTGAGCGGCGTACTCAAGGAGCTATCTGGAGAGCGTCATGACATCCCTATCTTCTCTGCAAAATTCATCTCATGTTCAGCTCCAAGCGCCACAGCCTTTGCCTCAATGAGATATCGTTTGCTCCTTGTACCGGGTGAGCGACATGCGTTCGACCACTTTTTGAAGGACACAACTCATCGCTGGCCCAATACTGTACTTCTAAAAAGCAGTGCATGCAGCAAAGACTGCTCCTTTCAAATGGTCGTGCTTAATGCCATGCTCGAATCAAATTAGCAATAGCCTTGGCACGAGAACCATTTCCTGCACCAACTCAAAAAGTTGGAACGCAGAGTTAAAGGGCAACCTATCATATTCTTCTACTCTTTTCAAATTCCTCGAGGGCAGACAAATGTTTTTCTTCCTCTCCCTTGTTGCATTACTATTTCTGTAAGTCATTTTTCATGTGCAGTACCCAAGGATATGTACCAAGAGAACAATGCGTTTGGTCACAGGTTCTGCTATCCGGGTGTCCCGAATATGCTGCACCCCAGCCATAGAGTTTGGAGACTTGTGAGTCTATTTGAGCATTCCCATTCTAACGCCAGCATTGTATTGTTGTGATCATTTCTGTTCTATCCCGCGAGTCTATAACCCAATTCGGAATCAAAGAAATGCATGCTTATTACTGTACATCGCACGACATGAAGGACGCTTCTGTAACAGGTGGCAACCTTGCCTTTGGAGCAAACAAAATGAGAGCCAATTATTCAAAACACAATAATGCGATAAATATTCAAGGACTGTACACCAAACTATTCCCCACCCCTCCTCACATCATAGTTACAGCCTGCCGTGTGATCCCTCCTCCGACCCGCATTGTTGAGGGCTGAAGCGCGAATGAAAACAAAACGTGAGATACAAACGACTTTCATCTACATAATCTGTTTCCGCCTCACTAATGACAGTTTCTGTGCCTCATCATTTATTTGCTGCTGTATCTTGACATAATCTGGGTGGTACTGTATGACGACAATGAAACACGTCAGATGGCTGGAAAGCCAATAAAGCGCGTGCCATTACCTGCGGGTTTGGAAGGACCGGAAATGGGAGTTCCTGTTGCCGCATGCTCAATGTCTCCTTCCCCTCGCGTCATTGCCCCAGGTTTGTCATCACAAAACGTCTTCGGAAGCAGGTGAAGGGCGAGTCCGCTCTTTGAATAACTGCACAAAACGCAAAATGCTTCGACGGAAGAAGGCCAGTCAAACATGAGTTACATGGAGACGAAATGTCTCTAGCTAACCATTTCTACACACCAGTCCTTTGCAAAAGCGGTTCCATGCATTCAGTGACTATGAACGCAGACGTGCCTCACTTTATGGAAAAGAGAGGGTTGACTTAATAATCCAACACATAGAAATTGCCAAGCCCGTCACCTCTTCCCCGGGAAGAGAATTGAGTAATGCAACTGCTGCACATAGCCCTCCTTTCTAAGTTGAGACTTCTTCCTGTGTGCGTTGTATCCTTCTTGTCGCAAAAGTTCTTGCTCGTCATCAGAAGGACTGCAAGATTGTTCAGTATTACGGCTCGCGCCCTGGTGTTGCGTCGATTACAGTCACGAAGTGAGAATACGAGAGTGAGTCATTTCTCTCTTACAGTTGTGTTAAAGAGGAGCCACAACATGTTTGGCCTTTGTCAGGGTTTGTTGGCTGTGTCACGATTTGTGACCAGGGGAACTCGATACGATTACAGTCTCGATGTGCCATTCAAAACCAAGCCATCTCGACCGAGATTGTTTCTGCTTTCCAAGCGCGTTTGTTATTCATATCCTCTGATCGGCGGTTAACGATTTGGATGATTTTCTTCGAACGGAAACATAGATGAAAATTTCCGTGGCTACACCCTAAAAGCCTCCTCTCTACCGTGCAGAACTGCGGAATTTGTTCTCATTTGTGCAAGTATTTCTGAAACCCCGCTGTCCTTTATCAAGACTTCTTAACAAGCGGTTTCTACTGCATCCTTTTCGAAATCCTCTTCCATTACAGGGTATGCAGCGCGCCCGAATGCCAATCGTGCAACAACTACCACTGGCGATACCGGATACAATGCAGTACCATGGCCTTGATTATGGTAACAAACATTTCGTTGGAGTGCCTTATTTCTCTATCATTGCCCTCGCCATTTACAACCACCCGGCAAGGTGTCACCACCGTCGCCTTCTGATCAGCTTGTCAGAATCACACGAACCCCCAGCTCACGACTCATACTTCCCGTCAAGATTCAGCCATATGAAGACAAGCGATTCACTGTGAGAAATACATAGAACTGGGAAGCGGGAATTTCAGGCATGTCTTTAGCCCTACTCTAAGCATGGATCATATCGGTAGTGATAGTTGGGAGGAGAAACTGTCCTGCGAAAGTTATCAAGTCCCACTTCCGTTTGCAGTCAGGGTCCTGTACGTGTATAGGCGCGCCTGTCTTCTCTTTTGTTGTTTCTGCTTTGCATTCCGATATAGCATTTTGTTCCTGCAATGCAAAGAACTAAATTCGCTTGCAAGGCATTAGGTGAATGCAGCCCCCGTCTATCGAAACACGTTCACCTCATTTCAGGCCTGTTTCGAACATTCTTTGTCAACTCAATGGTGACGAAGACGTGCGGGAGTTCTTCTGTCTGCCATTCTTCTCTTCTAATGTTTTCGGATGATTAAAGTCATTGTTACTCTCATTTTTCGTGAAGAAGTACAAGATGATCAACAACAAGCTGACCGCTCAGGTCTCTTTATGGCATCTATATTGCCACGACCGCCAAAAAGCGATGCGGATGGTCTCAGACATATTCTATAGCTTCTTTCTTGCATATTTTTCCAATTGATAGAGAAAAGCTTCAAACCTGAGCGTAGGGGTACCTCCCCCATGAATGATCTCATTGCCTTATTGCCTATATAAAGCAGAACAAGAAACCGTCCCTCTCGATTCGGCACAAGAACCTTTCACCTTCACTCATCTCAAGAAAGCTGGTACCCTTCACTCGCAACTCAAGCCTTCGCATAATGTCTCTGTTTCTCGTGCTACTTTCTGCTCTCTTCTGTACAGCCCTTTGCACCGCAGTGCCACGAGGAAAGCCCACAAGAGCTTCTACAGCTCCCAGTGGTCAGAATTTCGACTCCATCATTACTGAGGATGGATTCATAGAGTCCTTTCGAATCCCGGTTAGGTCTATCCCTCCTTTCCCAAAGGGTCCGAAAATGACTAACAAGTGGCTCTGACTGATAAAAACTCATGGAATACCTACCTTGTCTCCGCAGATGAGAGAAAAGTTTCCCATCAAAGAGAAGACAAATCAACTGTCACGTCTCATTTCAGAAACTAAGCTAACAGTCATCCAAAGATATTGCGATTTAACTCAGTGCTTTTAACATTCCCAATAAATGTCATTGGATGAAGTTCAACTTCATTCATAAACTTTTCAACGATTCCATCGCCGTCTCTGCTGTACACCAAAGTTTCGAAGGTGATTTGAGTGGCACACTGAATCCCGGTTTATTCGGCTGGATTTCCTTCGTTTGGAGAGCAGGTCGGTCCCTTTACAGAAATATCCGTCAAACCCAATCCACGGTACGTTCCTATTTTCGTGACTTGAACCGAGCAGTGGTGATTCTAAAACGCGCAGCTGTTTTCTTTATTCCTATTCATGAAGAACCAAGGACATTTAGCAATTACATAAACAGAATTGCATGCGGTGAACAGCTGGTTGTCAACTTTTGAAGTCAACACAGTGTTGAAATTCTCGTTTCGGAGAAGACCATTAACGCGCCTACATCACACAGACTCATATTACTTGCGTTCACAGGCATGAGCAACAAAAGCGCGAATAGTATGTCTACATCACGCATATGTTCTTTGCAAGACACGTTCTTGAAGGATGTTTCTAAGCATTAACGGCCTTGTTTTGCTATCGTGTCTTCTTCTGAAGCGCATCCCAGTTCTTCTTTATCTAGCTTTCAACTCGCAATTCGCACTTGCCTTCGGGGGGATTGGGCCCATCGCCAGGATCGGAAATAACGCATGTCAAACCGTCTCTGCATACTTTCGGGCTAAAGAGCGACTCCGATGGTCCGTTTGTGCAGCGCTCCCCCTGCTCGGCGCATTCTATTTCGTATTTGTTGCAACACATGGGTCCCAACCTGGACGAAATAGGTTTTGCGCATATATCACTCGCATCTCTCTCGACGGGACCGTATATCTTAAAGTTGGAGCGACAGCTCGCGACAATTAAGCATCCGACATTCCCATACAGGCGCCCATCACTCCCTTTTGGCTGTGGGATCTGCAACAGTCTTGTACAGAATCGAGGGCATTCTGGTTTCGGACCGGAATCCCTGCGTCTCGCCCATGCACCACACGTCGCAATTACACCAGATATCCGACAAATGGTTTTCTTTCCCGTGCGGCTGCACTTCTCGATTGTACACCTCTGCGGCCTCATTTTCAGCTTTCGACATCTTCCTCTTGAATCTCTCCTGGTGCTCTGCTTGCCAAAGTTGAATACAACGCATGTTAACCCGTCTTCACATGGTATGTTGAGCGGGGTGAGACGTGTTTTTTTGCATTTCCCTCCACGAGGAATACATCCGATTCCAGTTGCAGAGCAACAGAACCTTGCGTCTTCACGTTTAACCGGAGGGTGGCAGCGGTTGATAGGTCGTCGAGAGAGAGCGGGCGACAAGAGAGAGACAAGCACGAGGGTCGAAACTGTAGTCCATAGCTTCATGTTTGATGGGAAAACTTGAGCTCTGTGACGGGTAGCTGGCAGAGAGGCAGGCTGCAGGGCAATTTTTAGCTGTACGACTTGTGCCGTAAGTTGCGTATAAGTCGTACCACCTGAGTTTTTGGTCGAGGCGAGATGCACGCATTTGGGTTTTATTGATTTTGTGTACCCCCCCTGCCGAAATGCCGATGGGTATACTACTGTACCCTTGTAGTCATAGGGTACATATCGCCCCACTTCATGGAAAACAGCCGTACAGCCCTGTAGTCATAACTTCTGGCAGAAAATGTTCACCGAAAGTACTTTTGGGCATTCGTAGAAATCTCCAATTCTTTGCTACGTGCCCCCATTGAAAGCGGGTTTCAAGATGCTGAATAGTGCGGGTACGGCTCATTGTCACTCTGCACAATAACATGCACTGTAATTACCGTGTCTGCGATTACAGGATATTGTGCGGCACGCATTATTTAGGGAGTGTGGGAGAGACTCACAAGACCTTGGTTGTGTTTACTGAGGTATGGTTCCAAGAACACCGGATGACTCCCTTCCTTGGGGAGAGCGGCCGGCGGCGGCTTTCTGATGTCCTGACTGGCGTGCCGTATAGGCTGTCCCTTATCTACTGATGGTGTACTATCTGGATGGAACAACATGAGCAAAGGAGCGACGGCTGTGCTATGTACCGTGCGGGAGCTCCGTACACGTGTAACATACGACAGGATGCTTGCGATTAAACGGGAACGCCCCAGGAATGAGAAAACTTCGACTCTGCCATTCGTGTGTAACACCTCATTTGAATTGTGCAAATCAAGCAGACTTAAGGTGCCATCCAAGGCTAAACTGTCATTCCGCATGGGGTACATGTACAGTAACCGTGCTGTTCTTTTCATGGCAAGTTTGGAAAACAGATGGAAAGTTGTATTGGCCATCCTTTCAAATCCGGCAGCAAAAGACGATTCGCTGGAAGGCATGTCGGTTGTCGAAAGCGATAGGTGTCGGTGGGGGTCGCTTGAATCTTCCACTTTCTGCGGAGGGAACGAACGCCAGCCTGCATCAGACACTCTCAGTCACATTCGACGCTGAACAGGGATTCAATTTACCAACTAGACTTCATAATCTCATTGGTATTTCGTTGGTCAAGAACCAGCATAGCAAAGTTTCATTCTCTGGTAAATAGAGGATTACTCTGCGCACCCATGTCCGCAACATACGGTACAGTATACTGTACACATTCGTGATGACATGTCGTCCTTATCTTGACAAGTTGTTTTTGTTTTCTCCCGTTTTCTAACACCGCCATGATCTGCTCGCATCAGCGCATTGCACTTACTGCTCTCCACTTTGGGCCTGACGCCAAACTTCCCATGCTGGACCATTCCGTCCCATTGGCCTTCGACCCGCTAGGTGCCCCGAGCACCCGCACCACGACCGTACTCGAGACCCTTGCGCGTGAAACCAAACGCCGAACGCTCTACACAATCGGCACGGCGAAATCCCATCATTTTCATCGCAGAAATTTTGCTATGTGGTCCACCGTTACATCTGCCACCTTCGCTACCATGCCCCATCAAGGACAGGCCATGTCCCAATCTCCCGCAAGCTGAGCATCCATCGTGTCTGCCCCAGGTGTGAGTCTTTGACGTCTATGCGGTGCAACTACAGAGCCCCACATATTTTTAGAAAAATAAAGATTCCTCCTTGCTGATTGATGGATCTGTCACTTTGATACTGTACTCCTTACATGACAGTATCTGATAAGCATATCCTGGGATATGCCAATCAGATACTGTCATGCAGCCTCTCCCAAGCTGCGCATCTCTATACGCAAGAAGTATTGAGTCAACTGCTCTGTACTTTCTCCATATTTTGCTGAATCTTTCACTCGTGAGCCCCTGCATTGATAAAGTTTTGTTCATAGAGCTGTGCACATCCAGCAGCTGACCAGAATGAAGAGTGTCGACAGATAAGCTTTTTGCGACTATCACTTTCTCATTGAATTACGTACACCTAAGGGAGGCCAAGATATTCGTTTTATGGAGCTGAAGTACCTTGGCAGATGCAAATTGCAGATGCTTTACAGAGAACCTGCCATTAAAAAAATGCTACTAAAATGCTTCCGAGCCCTCTGGGCTGACGCAGGATGCTTCCTTAAAACTGCACATCATGCCGACGGCAAACGTCAAATATCAAATTCCGGGAGCAAGGGTCAACGGATTTGCAAAATGCGCAACATTTTGATTTCTTCGGCTTCTGCGCCGTCCGGACTTGGCAGGCTGTTTTCTCCATCATCAGGACCAGAATTGTTCGGTGGGCACTGCTTGGATGCCTCAGAGCCGAGAGGCCGAGGGACCAAGGGAGGCCTGTCCAGCTTTCTATGTCGTTTTCGACATTGCTGACTTGCCCTGAATCCCTGTGAAGCCAGCCTGCTTTGAGCCCCCGTGTCGTGGAAGGACGACAAAGTATGTGATATCGTTTCAGTGCAACATTTGTCGATGTGCTCAGGATACGGAGCCTTTCTTATCTCTACCCTTACCCCGCGAACTGGTTTCAACGGAAACGTGCTCAATTCAGACAGGAACCCTTCTCTTGGCTTGGGGAACTGCAGAAATGCTTGCAGTTTGCACACTATTTGCACCTTGGAATTAAGGTCCCATGAGTCGCTCAATAGTTCTGATACTGCGTTCTCAATAGATTCGTGTACTTCCGTAAGAGAGCATCGATGAAATGCATCAGGAAGCTGTGAGATTTTTTGTCTTGTATGCGCCTTTCCAATTTCTCCGGAATGAAACTCATGGTCGGAGAGTAGGTCCCTTTCTTCATTCTCGGAAAGAGTCCAATTGGCGGGATAGACAGACGCCTCCGAATCTGATGAACTTTCTGTGTCCGTGAGTTGCAAATCCTCCGATTTCAGAGAACAGTCTTCATCACTGCTCTGATCACAAACAGTTGCTGACATCGTCTAGGTGAGTAGTTCGTCGGCTATGCCCGCTGGGAAAGAAGCTTCCCCTCCCGGCATGGATTCCATTTTATCTGCGTGCCCACAGAAAAGCATTGCAATCGAAAACTCTGGGCTCAATGACAGCGACGCATACATGGTTGCGTGTGCTAACATATCGATAAGACGTACACGTGCTCTTCGAAGGAGACCACATACCATTTCGAAAGTAGACAGAATTTCCATATTTTTTTTGCAGTGCCTCGGGAAGCGATACCTCTTGGTCGACTTCGCTTTTGCATAGGCTCACACGAATCCACTTTCGTCTGAAAGGGAATTCAAATGGGGCTACGGGTGAGATATCTTCGTTTAGAAAACAGAAGAGTTGTTCATCTGAAACAGACCTTGCGATAGATCAATATCTTGAGCACTACGCATACCATTGGGCAGAAAAAGTTGAACCCTTTACGCACGATTTTGAACGAATCTTATTAGGACCCTTACACGCTAACAACGAAAGGTTGTTTTTGTCGATGGATGGATGCCTGTCGCGTTTGGATACGTCAACAAAAGCACAGGAGTATTAAGTGATGTTGAGAAACTGAAGAAGATGGTTTCTGACGAGGTGAAGATGTCGTACAATTTACTTGCACCGCCTCAGACTGGTCGTTATATACACTACACAATCCTACTTAAACCCACTAAAACCGTAGAAACATCGTAAAGTATCGCCGTACAATAATTGTAATGTGAGTGCTCTCTTTCATTTGTCGTATCACGAAGTAGTATAGATTTAATGTCTGTGGACAACCTGCGCTGCGGAGCGCAAGGCCACTTGTCAACCAAAGAAAAATAATTGGAGAGTGATGCTGAAATTATTTACTGGGAGAGAGGGACATGGAATGCTATCTTGAACAATGTACTCCCGGCACTCAAGGGAGACACGAGACAACGGTATGTAAGGACAAGGTAAGATAGAACAGACAACGAAAGAAGCATCGGCCAGTAAAAAGGAAACATTTTGACACCCACTGTGCAAGTGGTTATGGGACCAGTGCCATACCTGACTGCCTGAATCCGCTTCTGTTTGTTGTTCTGAGAGCTGTCGCTCTGCCGGAGTTTGGATCGTTCGTTTTTTGTTTGCTGACTTCTAACAATGGAAGAGACAAAGAAATATTCAAGTTCGAAGGAGAAGAGGGCCAGGATTTTCACATTTGGTCGGCGCGCACTGAAGCCACGTTGGAGGCGAAGGATGTTCTGTCTCCTGTACTGAAAGATATGGTCGACGCTGAAGCTATGACTTCCGTTTCTCAAGCAGACAAACTCTCGATCGCGAGAGCTAAGGCCACAATTATTCAGGGATTCGGAAACAAGCCCTTGAGTTTGGTGTTGCCTGTGAAAGACAATCCTTTTAAAATGCGGAAAGTTTTAAAGGGGAGATATGCAGTTTCAAACCGAGTTACAAAGGTGCAACTTCAAACGAAGCTAGCGCTCATGGAGTACAAAAGATAGACCATGTCGGAATATGTAGCCGGGTTCGAGGATATTTTTAATCAGTTCTCTGCTATGGGTACGGAACTCGCACAGGACATGAAGATAGCAACATTTCTTGCTTCGTTTGGAGACAAGTCAAGATCGTCGTTTGGGCATGTGGTGACAGTACTGCAGTCGAAAGACACCACTGTAGCCTGAGAACTTGTCTCTTCGACTTTCTTACAGGAGTAGGAAGAACAAATGTGGGCGTCCACGGTGCACTACAATTCCGCACCACGACCCCCCGGGAAGATGATAACCGCGCGGGAGGGCGGGTGCTACTGTAGCGAGCGGGCGTACAAGCGCCCCCTGCCGTGTACAGTAGTACCCCAAGGGTCCGACGTGGGACAGCCGGTAGCAGCGGGCGTGGCCACGGGTAAAACGTGGCATAACCGCCGGCTGCAATCGCGGCCGCGTGTACGCGTGTATAATCCGTACGGTGGCTAATTAGTAAGTAGTAGTTAATGGCACAAATTAAGAAATTGTGTACAGTAGCTGGTACACAGTAGGTAGCAGCTACTGTAGCGGAAGAGGTGTC